TAATTTTTATGGGACCCTTCAAGAAATAAGAGCTTACACATAACACTGCCGAAAGCATTTACTGTTCGAATCTGAAAAACATTGTGATTTTTTAAACTGCAAAAGAAATAGCATTTCTTTTTATTGAGGGGTGCTAAGACTTTAAACAATATTTTTGGTGTTTAAAAATACAATGAAAAGTTAAGCGTATAATTAAATGAGATTAGTTAGCTTCTAAAATTGTCAAGTTTTATTAAAAATGTAGTAACATTTTCTACCATGCGAAACATTGTTATTTTTATGCCAACTCCTAACATATTTTCCAGCTCTGAAGGGTACCTTACTCACGTTAGCGAAAGTAAAGGTGGCTGCTGGGCATAGTGCTGACCACACTATCCCTTCATATGCCTATGTTACAGAAACAAATAGACTGTACTTCACCTGTCCCATAGACCGTTAGGTTAAAAAAGGGAACTTTTTAACTTTTTGCTTGATGTCATTGAAGAAAATTTGGTATCGCAGTGACTACCTCTATAATAGTCTATAAACACAGACAATATTATTTTGGCTTTGCATTTTGTTTGATTTATCCAAGCCCCAGAAACACATAACAAAGATTCTCTTCGCTCTTTAAAATGAATAGCGTAAAACATTTTTGTTGACGAGTTTAACCGAAAGCGTATTTTTTCCCCTCATTTAACCTCGGAACCATTTTTTAAGGGTGTTTTTTGTTTTAATATCTCACCGCCTGGCCATTTAACCCCCCCCCCCCCCCCCTCATTCAATAGGAAGACGTGCTGATCTCTAAGGGAAATAACCGCACGTTACTTAGCCCCCTCATTGTTGTCACGACGAAAAAACCTGACTGTCACAACAACACCAGCCCGTACGCGGCCCGCCGACCGGTGTGATTCGCACACTCAACAAAAGAAGATTTGGGGGGAAATTGGATGACCTCTGACCTCTCGCGTCAGCGGAGTCTCCCGAGACAATGGCCAGTGTATGTTTGTTCAGGGGAGCTTATCTAATGTCAGGGGCCATCCACCGGCTACCATCCGGGTATCGGCTGTCATCGCAGGAAGATTTTTTTTCTCCGGCGTAAATAGCGGTTGGGAATTGTTTGAAAATATTAAAGGCGTGTTCAGGTTACTGCATAGGACGGCATGGTCAAGCGGTAGCATTCACAATTATTAACCCGGATACTGAAGGGTCGGCGTGGTCGAGTCGGTAAAGCTCATGGTTGCTAAACCAAAAAGGCTATGGAAGCAAATCCAAAAAGAAAAGCAGGCTGAATTCGGAGTCAATGGCCTCAATGGCGCATAACCAGTTGACACGTAACGCTTAATTGTGTTGAAGGCGTGGTCGAGTCGGCTAAAAGCTCATGGTTGATAAATTCGAACAAAGTCTCGAGTTCAAACCCACTGGCAGATAAATCTCGATCCCCTTCAACACAAATAATTAAGAACGAAGAAGAAGAAGAAGAAACCCGGATACTAGTTTGTGTTATCGTATTATCAGGGAGTGTAGAGGCGGCCTAGCATGGAACTGAGCACATAATATTCTCTTTGAATGTCAATAAAAAAATAAAAAGGCAAACTCTACTTCATTTTTTTCTATTCACGCCATGCATATGATCACAAGTTCGGCGAGTGTGACGTGAACACACCATCAATGGCGAATATAATATGAACATGCCATGTATGACGATTGCAATGTGAACAAGCCATGCTGCATGTATAACGAGTGTAGCGTGAACACGCCACATATATGCGAAATGTTAATACACTATTTATGACAAGTAAAATTTGAACACGCCATGTATGATGAGTGTAGTGTGAACACGCCATCTATGACTACTGATGAATGTACTGTGAACACGCCATGTATGATGACCGATGCGTGTAATGTGAACACGCCATGTATGATGAGTGTAATGTGAACCAGTAGCACCCCCCCCCCTCAAACTTTCGATTTACACCCCCCCCCTCATACTTTATATATATACCGAGGGATCTATGGGGGTATGACCCCCCCTACCCCCCTGCCTACGCCAATGATGTGAACACGCCACGTATGACGCGTGTAATGTGAAAACGCCACGTATGATACGTGTAATGTGAACACGCCATGTATGATGACTGATGCGTGTAATGTGAACACGCCATGTATGATGACTGATGCGTGTAATGTGAACGCGCCACCTGTGAAAGTCAGCAGATGCTGAATGTCTAATATCGATCTCACGTGACCAGAACAAAACCTTGAGCTCTCTTCATACCGGTAGGCCTGGACAACTAGGTGGGCTATTTTATTTCAAGTCACACCGATACTTTTCAACATCGATACTTATTCCCAAAATCCAATCGTTTTGTCAAATTATCAACAAAGATTTACATTTTATATAATACATTTTTGGTATTATTAATACAAGTGTTTATACATTTTTTTTGACATAATATTAAAAAAATAATTTACGATACGATATCAAGTAATCGCTTTGACATTCAGTACTCGAGTACGCCATATTAGCTTACTCCTTCAGTCGACGAGATAGCCGCACCGAAGCAAGTCTCATCTTTCCTCTTGTCTAACCTGACGGTGAAGTGGTGTCCTGTTTGCCTGCCTCCCTGTCTGATAATGATGGCACTCAGACTGACTCTGTTTACAAGTGTGGGCAACAGATGAGGACATGCGTCTCCAGACGTGGTCTTCAAACCACGGTTTGATTTTAGTACACAGTAAACACACACAGGTACACAATTTGATGTGGTTAACTAGATTTGTGGGGGTGGGGGGGGGTTGATATAATATATATATATATACATGCACATATATATATATATATATATATATATATATATATATATATATATATATATATATATATATATATATATATATATATATATATATATATATATAAGCAAAAGTTACCATACAAACTATCATCGGTAGGGGAATTATAAGATAGGTCTTATCATGATGTCTTTAAGAAATTTTCATTGACGAATTAAAATATATCACATTTAAAAAAACAAACAACTGAAGTATGTAACCAGTATGACTAAGTTGGAGTATTATGGTGTAAATCAAGATTGCATCAATTTTAGTTGGATAAAACACATGGCTTATTTTCTGTATGTATTGTTTTGGTATTCTTTTAATATACACACATACATTCAAACATTACCCATAGAGTTACATAAGATAGTTTATATTGATCTCGACCTTGACCCGAAGTTATTTCAAAATCAAAACAGCTAGGGAAACAAATCCCAGCATCTAAACTTCATCAATTTCTACGTGCACTTAGAAATGACGAAAAGAACCCGAATCAGAAGATGAAGATAAAGACAGAAAGGAAAACACAGCTTCACTAGAGAAGCGTTTATCAGGCTGGCCCTTGTCCACTTGTGTCCATATTGTTTACGTTTCCATCAAATGACTGCCCCTATCCTGTACATCGATTATGCCATTACAGCTACCCCCCCCCCCCTTCTTACCCCCTATTAAAGAGATCCACTGACACGCTGAAGTGGCCCTCAAAGATCGGACACAGCTAGCCCCAAGTGTCCGGTGTCAAATTCCTCACTGCCCACGGACACTGTCCATATTTGTACGCTCTATTCAGAAAAAGGCCCCGGTGTTTTTACAATCTTCACTTAGATAAGGTCCCTTTTCTCGTGTCGCCTTCAAGTGTGGCTCTCTCCCTTGTGCTGTGTGATAATACGGCTATACCGTACTGGGCCCCAACACGTGCGGAAGGAACTAATTACTTAATTTTTTAAATTAAGTCCGAACCCACAAGAAACACTCGCATTCCACGGCAGTCGTATCGGGATTTCCCGAACACTTGAAATTTTGTTTCCACTCCCGTAAATTCCTGTCTCCGTAATGATCCATATACACTTTCACGTGAATACAGAGGTACATCGCGTTTGTAAACAGACTCATGTCACGTGGATGCTATTTAAAGCTACAAGCATTGTGTTGCTGACGTTGACCCGTGACCCGTTACGTACTTTTCAGATGGGCTTCCAAAGTATGTGATCGCCATGATACAAGGGATATAACTCTGCCCATATGGCTCGATTACACAATACAAACACACTCGGTGTCTCAAGGTTCTGTGAAAATAAGTGTTGGCGTTACGAGTCTCTTAATATTTGCACTATATAAGCGCGCGTTTTTTTTACAACACAATATTTATGTGTAGAAAAACAGAATTATATTTTAACTAAAACTTTATTAAGTCTAAAAACAGTAATGAGTTGGAAAAAGTTATTTTGACTAAAAGCGGTATTCATGATAAATGTTATTGTCTTGTGCAGATTGTAGGCCTTAAATCAATTTTTTTTTCTCTTATTGGATCAAGGTACTTCCTGTTGGAGTGGAAATTTTCAATCATGGTCAAGCCAATGGGACTACACACTGCTTATCGCAGAGAGCAAAGGTGGCATGACAAAGAGTATAAAAAAGCTCACTTGGGGACACGTTGGAAGGCTAACCCATTTCATGTAACCCCTCATACTAAGGGAATTGTTTTGGAAAAAGTCGGTGTTGAGGCTAAGCAGTCCAACTCTGCCATTCGCAAGTGTGTTAGAGTGCAGCTTATTAAGAATGGTAAAAAAATAACGGCTTTTGTCCCAAATGACGGTTGTCTCAACTTTATTGAGAAAAACAACGAAGTACTTGTAGCTGGTTTTGGACGTAGAGGTTATGCTGTGAGTGACATTCCTGGTGTCTGTTTTAAGATTGTCAAAGTTGCCAACGTATCTCTTTTGGCTCTTTTCAAAGGAAAGAAGGAACTCTCTCGTTCTTAGAGACCACTGTAAAATAAATTACTGATACCCAAATTTTTTTTTAATTTGATAAAAAAAGACAAACTAAAAGCGGTGTTTACCTAATCACTATCTTGATTACAAGCTTTAGCCAGGTGTTTAACTCATCACTATCTTGATTACAAGCTCTAGCCACTCAAAACAAACGTTCACTCCCCACCCTCCACCCCATTCAGCCTGCTAGGGGTGGACTGGTTGTGTCAAAGGGTCTCGGACCCTCAAGCCCAGGGGGTCCACAGAGATTTTATACTTGGGGAGAGGGTCCACAGAGATTTTATACTTGGCGAGGGGGTCCACAGAGATTTTATACTTGGGGAGGGGGTCCACAGAGATTTTATACTTGGGGAGGGGGTCCATAGAGATTTTATACTTGGGGAGGGGGTCCACAGAGATTTTATACTTGGGGAGGGGGTCCACAGATATTTTATACTTGGGGAGAGGGTCCACAAAGATTTTATACTTGGGGAGGGGGTCCATAGAGATTTTATACTTGGGGAGGGGGTCCACAGAGATTTTATACTTGGGGAGGGGGTCCACAGAGATTTTATACTTGGGGAGGGGGTCCACAGAGATTTTATACTTGGGGAGGTGGTCCACAGAGATTTTATACTTGGGGAGGGGGTCCACAGAGATTTTATACTTGGGGAGGGGGTCCACAGAGATTTTATACTTGGGGAGAGGGTCCACAGAGATTTTATACTTGGGGAGGGGGTCCACAGAGATTTTATACTTGGGGAGAGGGTCCACAGAGATTTTATACTTGGGGAGGGGGTCCACAGAGATTTTATACTTGGGGAGGGGGTCCACAGAGATTTTATACTTGGGGAGAGGGTCCACAGAGATTTTATACTTGGGGAGGGGGTCCACAGATATTTTATACTTGGGGAGAGGGTCCACAAAGATTTTATACTTGGGGTGGGGGTCCACAGAGATTTTATACTTGGGGAGAGGGTCCACAGAGATTTTATACTTGGGGAGGGGGTCCACAGAGATTTTATACTTGGGGAGGGGGTCCACAGAGATTTTATACTTGGCGAGGGGGTCCACAGAGATTTTATACTTGGGGAGGGGGTCCACAGAGATTTTATACTTGGGGAGGTGGTCCACAGAGATTTTATACTTGGGGAGGGGGTCCACAGAGATTTTATACTTGGGGAGGGGGTCCACAGAGATTTTATACTTGGCGAGGGGGTCCACAGAGATTTTATACTTGGGGAGAGGGTCCACAGAGATTTTATACTTGGGGAGGGGGTCCACAGAGATTTTATACTTGGGGAGGGGGTCCACAGAGATTTTATACTTGGGGAGGGGGTCCACAGAGATTTTATACTTGGGGAGAGGGTCCACAGAGATTTTATACTTGGCGAGGGGGTCCACAGAGATTTTATACTTGGGGAGGGGGTCCACAGAGATTTTATACTTGGGGAGAGGGTCCACAGAGATTTTATACTTGGCGAGGGGGTCCACAGAGATTTTATACTTGGGGAGAGGGTCCACAGAGATTTTATACTTGGGGAGGGGGTCCACAGAGATTTTATACTTGGGGAGGGGGTCCACAGAGATTTTATACTTGGGGAGAGGGTCCACAGAGATTTTATACTTGGGGAGGGGGTCCACAGATATTTTATACTTGGGGAGAGGGTCCACAAAGATTTTATACTTGGGGTGGGGGTCCACAGAGATTTTATACTTGGGGAGAGGGTCCACAGAGATTTTATACTTGGGGAGGGGGTCCACAGAGATTTTATACTTGGGGAGGGGGTCCACAGAGATTTTATACTTGGCGAGGGGGTCCACAGAGATTTTATACTTGGGGAGGGGGTCCACAGAGATTTTATATTTGGGGAGAGGGTCCACAGAGATTTTATACTTGGGGAGAGGGTCCACAGAGATTTTATACTTGGGGAGGGGGTCCACAGAGATTTTATATTTGGGGAGGGGGTCCACAGAGATTTTATACTTGGGGAGGGGTCCACAGAGATTTTATACTTGGGGAGAGGGCCCATAGAGATTTTATACTTAGGTAGGGGGTCCACAGAGATTTTATACTTGGGGAGGGTGTCCACAGATATTTTATACTCGGGGAGAGGGTCCACAGAGATTTTATACTTGGGGAGAGGGTCCACAGAGATTTTATACTTGGCGAGGGGGTCCACAGAGATTTTATACTTGGGGAGAGGGTCCACAGAGATTTTATACTTGGGGAGGGGGTCCACAGAGATTTTATACTTGGGGAGGGGGTCCACAGAGATTTTATACTTGGGGAGAGGGTCCACAGAGATTTTATACTTGGGGAGGGGGTCCACAGAGATTTTATACTTGGGGAGGGGGTCCACAGAGATTTTATACTTGGGGGGGTCTAAGGGGATATTCCCAGGTAGTCCAAGGGGTCAGTACACTCCTGATGGTGTCTTATATTGTATCATTTGGCATTGTTCACAACTTCATAGTCTACATATATTTAAAACTATATATCGCCCTCTATATCCATTTTAAACAGCGATCCAGAACTCCGAAGAAAAAATTCAAACTCCAAAACATTAATCCAATGTTTCTGATAATTAGGCGTCCATTCAACAATAATTTGGCAACCCTTTACTAAAATACAAGCAATCACACACGAATATAGAGAGAACACTTCATAAAAAATTTGGTGCCCCTTGGTCAATATATAAACACTAACAATTACAATCTTCTTTATCATTAACAAAGCGCTCCATCTAAACATGTTTTCCTCCAACTCTCTATCCCTATACTCCCTCCCTCTCTCTCTTTATACATACATATATATATATATATATATATATATATATATATATATATATATATATATATATATATATATATATATATATATATATATATATACATACATACATACATTGAGACACCCATAGACAGTTTGAAATAAAATTAGCTAAAAATACCAACTCAACAAAATTGCACTGCAGTAGTTCACAAGACTGAGCACTACATTGCTTTGAGCTGCACATATTTACAACAATATTTCCACTAGTGTTTATCAGTTAGTAGATACAACGGCAAACATTAACTCACACTTGAAAACGCTTCGGTTATAGATAGACACGAACAGAATATCAAAGGGAAGTAACCGCCCACTCTGATAAGTTATGTGTGGAGTGGGGAGAGGGTGGGGGGTGTCCACTTGGCGGAAGTCGCTCTTGACCACATCCTCAGTGACATGTCATACTAGCTCCTACTTGACTCCCCTCCTGACGGAAGTCAGGCTAAGGAGGGTTCTGTCACCTTGAGCGGGGTGACCCCTGACACGATGACACCTAGAGGGGACCGTGAGGTCTGGAACTGTGGATGGTGTCTGCTGAATATGAGGGGCAGCCTTTGGTTCATTTTGGTTCCTTAGGGTTCATAAGCCAGTGTAATGTGAACACGCCATGTATGACGAGGGTAGAGTACCATGTTCAATTTTTCGGTGATCTCGATATATGAAAGATAGAGTGGTTAACACTATGCCCAGCCACCTTTACTTTCGTATCATAAGTCAGGTACCCATAAGAGCTGGATGGACTCAGGGACGTCGTACGGACTCGAGCCCGGAACCCGAACTCGAGACTTTCAGGTTAGTGGTCGAACACACTACCATTCGACCACACCGATCTACAATTGGTGGAGTAATTTGGTAGTAATTTTGTGTGTGGTGTGTTGTGTTCGTTTTTTTTATAGTTGTATATTTTTTTTTGGCTATCTATTCTGTGATGTATATTTGGTATTTTTTGTGTAATGTATTTTGGTAGTATTTTGTGTGGCTGAAGCTGATGTGACAGTGCCTTAGCAGTTTGTTTCGATCAGGGGTTTTCGTTTATATATAATTGTTTACGATAATTCCGTAACTGGCTCTTTTGTCTCTGCTTTGAAAGTTCTGATATGTGTACGTGATTGAAAATATTGGTCACAACATTCTAAAGTGGGTTGTGGGAAGTAGCTCAACATACGGAAGTTTACCAAGAGTTTCGGGTTTTAGTTGCACAAATAAGATTTCCAAATAGATTCATACTTTTTTATTTCTCTGTATGGGTTAAACCCAAGCACATGTACACTCAATACTGATTGGAAATGTAGGGTCCTGTTAAACAAAAGCCAAACCAGGTTAATGGGGAGTGGTAGCACACAAGTGTGATGAGTCTTAGACAGGTATTTTGTGGAGTATGGGGTGAAGTTGTCTAGCAAAGGCACACTTGTCAGCAGGGTTTTATTCTAGGGGGGGGGGGGGGGGGGTTACACGTTTCTGGGGGGGGGGGGGTGTACACGTTTTTCGGGGGGGGGTGATGACACTGGTTAAGTATCTTTTTAAAATATAGATTATACAATTTTTTTCCTGTTTTATTTTGCCTGAAAGAAAACTCTTCTCGGGTAGGACTTGATGTCATAGCTCATGCTATATGTCAGGACCTGGTGTCATAGCACATGCCATATGTCAGGACCTGGTGTCACAGTGACCCGGTCATAGAGTGCAGCAACGGATAAAACTATGCCGAGAACTAATTAAAGCTGAGCCTACTATAAAAAAAAACAAGAACCGGTTTATTTTATATTTTACGGTTGTTTCCCCTTCCTTATTCAATCGCTGTTGTCGCAAGCACTAGTGTAATGTCAATGTGACTGTACTCAGTGCCTCTTCCCCTCAACCCCCCCCCCCCCCCCCCCCTCCCATAGACCCTCCCCTCCCGCATTACAAAGCCAATCCCTGGCTTATAAATAGAACAGACAACTTCATCAACTGAAGCCCTCGCTGAAATTTTGTCCTAATTAATGCACAAGATTCTACTTCAGATACGTCCCGACCCCCCCCCCCCCCAGCCTCCCGACCCCCTCACGTGACGAACTGACTTGTCCAGCGTCCCTTAAGTGGCTCTGATGATTATCTGATCTCTTGTGACGTCAGCACTTTGCCTGGAGAAGCGACCATTTGCTGGGGCCTGGCTGTTGACTCAATACTTGTCTGTGTGTGTGTGTTAGTGTATGTGTGTGTGCATGTGTGTAGGTGTGTGTATGTGCGTTGACGTGTGTGTATGTGTGTGGGTGTATGTGTGTGTGTTTCGGCCAGAGTTGAGTCCACTCGCCAAAACAAATTGGCCAAGTCTGATGGATGGCCGTCTACCTGTGTTGGTTGGCCAAGTCTAGCAGTTGGTTGGCCAAGACTAGCAGTTGGTTGGCCAAGACTAGCAGTTGGTTGGCCAAGTCTCGCAGTTGGTTGGCCAAGTCTCGCAGTTGGTTGGCCAAGTCTCGCAGTTGGTTGGCCAAGTTTCGCAGTTGGTTGGCCAAGTTTTGCAACATATGTTGGCCATGTCTAGCTATTTGGGCTCGCCAAGTCTTGTTGTGTGGGTTGGCCAAGTTTAGCTATATTGGTCTAGCAGTGTTGCCTGACCGACTCTAGCTATATTGTTGGCCATGCTTTACGGTATTGGTTGGCCAAGTCTAGCAATATTGTTGGCCAAGTTTTACAGTATTGGCTGGCCAAGTTTGCTAAGCCTCGATCTGATATCTTTTAATCTATACGAATGTCTTGACTATTTGTCTTATTATAATCTCAGTCTGCAATATCGGAATGTCCTGACTATTTGTCCTATTATAATCTCAGTCTACCATGTCGGAATGTCCTCTCAGTTTTTATTGCTTGTCTGCTTTGTCCTACAGATATACAATGTCTGTCTACCCAATGTCTGCTGTGTTTATCCATTCGGAATGTCCTGGTCCTGTTAATATATACTCTGTTTATTCTTTACAATGGTGATCCAATTTATATTATCTACAAGAATGTTAACTATCAGACGTCTAAGAATGTCCTTTTACTTTGTAATGTGGATATGTCCTCTCGCTCTGTCCTGTCAAAATATCCACTTTGTCCTATAAATCGATAATCTTACTTTGCCCTATAAGAATGTCCTCTCACTATGTCCTCTTGACATGTCCTGTCTATTATCCCTGATATCATTCCTCCATTGACTTTCACATTTGCGCGCACAAAACGAAGAAAATTAAAAGATTTCCCTCCCGTCAATATTGTAATTGAAAAGTAGAAATCTAACCGTCACGGTCCAAGTGTTCTCGATCCGCCCCATTGCATATTAAATTTAAGAAAAGAAAATTGGCTAACCAGCTGTTGCCGGCTGGTTATCTAAATAAAGTCAATAAACAGATAATTAAATTTGCTAATAGCTTGCAGTATTGTACGTTCGTTCAATTTTTGTGTTGCAGATTTTACACTAGGTGACACGGGAGTGGGTCATAGATGTGCTGTTGCTACACATCTCAATGTCTGGGGCATTTTGGATATAGTGGCCGGATACGTACACGTACACGTACACGTACACGTACACGTACACGTACACGTACACGTACACGTACACGTACACGTACACGTACACGTACACCTACACCTACACCTACACCTACACCTACACCTACACCTACACCTACACCTACACCTACACCTACACCTACACCCATTTTTTAACCACTGCGATATACCATTCCCATCAATTTGGGAATCACAGTGATATACTATTGCCGTCAATAGTTTGTCAACCACTGCGATGTACCAGCACCATCATCAGGACTAGAACCACTGCGATGTACCACCACCATCAGGACTAGAACCACTGCGATGTACCAGCACCATCAGGACTAGAACCACTGCGATGTACCAGCACCATCAGGACTAGAACCACCACCACCATCAGGACTAGAACCACTGCGATGTACCACCACCACCATCAGGACTAGAACCACTGCGATGTACCACCACCACCAGGTCTAGAACCACCACCACCATCAGGACTAGAACCACTGCGATGTACCAGCACCATCAGAACTAGAACCACTGCGATGTACCACCACCATCAGGACTAGAACCACTGCGATGTACCAGCACCATCAGGACTAGAACCACTGCGATGTACCACCACCACCATCAGAACTAGAACAACTGCGATGTACCACCACCACCATCAGGACTAGAACCACTGCGATGTACCAGCACCACCAGGACTAGAACCACCACCACCATCAGGACAAGAACCACTGCGATGTACCAGCACCACCATCAGGACTAGAACCACTGCGATGTACCAGCACCATCAGGACTAGAACCACTGCGATGTACCACCACCACCATCAGAACTAGAACAACTGCGATGTACCACCACCACCATCAGGACTAGAACCACTGCGATGTACCAGCACCACCAGGACTAGAACCACCACCACCATCAGGACAAGAACCACTGCGATGTACCACCACCATTATGACTAGAACCACTGCGATGTACCACCACCATCAGGACTAGAACCACTGCGATGTACCACCACTATCAGGACTAGAACCACCACCACCATCAGGACTAGAACCACTGCGATGTACCAGCACCATCAGGACTAGAACCACTGCGATGTACCAGCACCACCATCAAGACTAGAACCACTGCGATGTACCAGCACCATCTGGTCTAGAACCACTGCGATGTACCAGCACCATCAGAACTAGAACCACTGCGATGTACCATCACCACCAGGACTAGAACCACTGCGATGTACCACCACCACCACCAGGACTAGAACCACTGCGATGTACTAGCACCATCAGGACTAGAACCACTGCGATGTACCAGCACCACCAGGACTAGAACCACTGCGATGTACCAGCACCATCAGGACTAGAACCACTGCGATGTACCAGCACCATCAGGACTAGAACCACTGCGATGTACTAGCACCATCAGGACTAGAACCACTGCGATGTACCAGCACAACCAGGACTAGAACCACTGCGATGTACCAGCACCATCAGGACTAGAACCACTGCGATGTACCAGCACCATCAGGACTAGAACCACTGCGATATACCAGCACCATCAGAACTAGAACCACTGCGATATACCAGCACCATCAGAACTAGAACCACTGCGATATACCAGCACCATCAGAACTAGAACCACTGCGATATACCAGCACCATCAGAACTAGAACCACTGCGATGTACCAGCACCATCAGGACTAGAACCAGCACCACCATCAAGACTAGAACCACTGCGATGTACCAGCACCATCAGAACTAGAACCACTGCGATGTACCAGCACCACCAGGACTAGAACCACAGCGATGTACCACCACCACCAGGACTAGAACCACTGCGATGCACCAGCAAGCCTTCGTTGGTTACAGTGTTCTGTGTAGGATCCACGTTGGTCCCAGAGATCTTCATCACGTGACCGGAAGTCCACTTGTCTGTAGCCTTATCGAGGCTATTTTTACAGCACGATAACCAGTGTCATGTAAGTGTTGAGGCAGAGGCTATTCGCGACCTGCAGGTCACGTGATGCGATACTCGCAT